GTGAGTGAGCTGCACCATTCTTCAGCTCGATCCGAGCGCAGGCAACATGTTTTTTTATTTTATAAAGCAGAAAGCTTTAGGCAAAAGTAGAAAAGATTTAATAAGACGTCAAAAATTAGAAAAGAGTCAACTTGAAATTTTTCGTGTTCTAATTGCGGCCAACGACTCTATTGTTACTACTAAATTTCTTTCTTATTATCGTCTGTCTTTTCCAGTATCATCTTTTCTTTCGCAATATTTGTTGTTAAAAAACAAAAGAAAATAGAAAAGATAGAATCTCTTTGAAATTTTTCGTGTTCTAATTGCGGCCAACGACTCTACAACAGTTTATACGCTCTCATTTTTCTTTCACCATGCAGCGGACGAAGATGCCTAGAATTTGTGATTTTTTTAGAAAGTGATATATTTTTAACGGCCAAGAAATAGGCTAAAAACAAACATTGAATATTGACCGTTTATGGGCATTTTTGCTTAATTATTGACTGTTTATGACCAGAACTCTACGTTTTCTGTCAGAAAACAACGTGAGATATAGAGTAGTGAGGTTAGCGAAACAACATGGTGAATTAAACATTAAATGTCTGCTTAAACATTTTGTCTGATTATGTAACGGTCATGAAACGGGCAATAAAGTGTCATTCAATGGTTCTCTAAATCTGAGCCTTATTGATACATCTCATTGCTTGTTTTTAGGCCACCATTAAAGGTCAGATGAAAGACAATAAATGGTGCCTGCTAACTGACCATTTTTTCACAATTAAAAACCTGTTGAAATCTTGTTGTTAGCCATTTATATCCCATTAAATGTCAGTTGTTTTTGACCTTAGTAGCACCATCAACTGTTTCATCTTATGAATCAGGGTTCAATCTATTTTATTCTTTTTGTACCATGTTTAATAAGGAGATGAATGATGATTTACCATCGTTAACAGAAGAAATAATAGTTGGGTTTATTGCATACTGCTTCGGTATTCTTCGGCTCAAATCAACAACCATCAGAATGTATTTAGCACACTCTCAAAAAACAAGTGCCCGCCAGCTAAAAAGGTCACTTTGATGGACGTTGAATGGGACACTTTAAATGCCCCGTGTAGTAGCACATTATTCCTCTATAACTTGCTATAATAGAAACAATATCTAGTTCAGTTTTACACACCAACAACAAATTATGATTACGATAAAATATTTTACAGAAAAACTAATGTGCAGTGATGATGAAATATTGATAGTTTATGTTTTTTGTGATAATAATACTAAACAATAGTTGTTGATGATGATTGATAATTTGCTTCTCTTCAACTGATCACGATCAATGAGGAGAAGGAGCGCGGAACCAAATTATAGCAATACAAATAAAAACACTAAATTATATTTTATAATTTTAAAAGAATATTAAATATAAATTAAATGTAAGATTTAGTTTATATTATTATAAAATTAAAGTATTAGAGTTTCTTCTTTTGTATAATAGAAGAAGAAGCAGAAGATTGGAAATGATAATGAGTATTCCTCTTCTCGTAAGATGAGAGAAGAACAAGAAGAAGTAGAAGTAGTTTAGAATTTTTGAAGAAGACGAAAAACTGATTTTTTTAATGATATGTCGACACGAAGATAATGTGTCTCCACATTTCGCGTCACTATGAAACATAAAATAATAATCAAAATCAATTATTAACTGATTTTACTCACTCTATACAAAGAGCTCATAGAAGACGTTTCTCAAACTTTTTAATTGAAAGAAGTAAAATATATAATGGCAAGCGGCCATTTTTCGCAGCGCAGGAATCAAACATATTTATACACTACAAGAATTCGGATCTACATTTTTTCAGAGTCCATCAGACGACCACGACCTCCAACTGCATTATCTATGTTGAAACGACTTTATGATGTACTCGGATATGGTTCTTTCTCACCATATCTATAGGTATGTTGAGAAAGCCGCCGGCTGTTTGTAGCCGACGATCTATAGATGGTCGGCTACAAACAGCCATAACAGTCGCCTTTTTCGGATTTCTTCGATGTTCTGAAACTTTTACCGCCTCAACACGATCTCTTGATACAAATTCTAAAATCTGTCTGTTTCCAACATTTCATTTAGCCCCTGCAAAAATATTGCTTATTTATCTTTGAAATCATCAAAAACAGATCCTTTCCGTGGCGATGACACGATTTTACTTTTAAAACAAATTACTTATATATGCTCGGTTTCTTGTCTACAGTCGATTTTTTGCTATTGATAGTTCAATTCCTTTTTCATCTTCAGAACCTCTGTTTTTAATGATAGACAAGACACCTCTTTCGCGAACAATTTTCGTTCGATACATCCGGACTCTTTTATCGAGGCTTCAATATCCAGCTCATCTTTATTCCGGACATAGCTTTCACCGGGAGCAACGCAAGTCGAAATTCCAGTTAACATAATTGGACGATTAGACAGATGGTTAATCAGTAGCGTGCAGTTATATATTGATTTACAATTTGATACGATGAAAGAAGCACAAATTACTCTTACAAGAACTAAAGTAGCATAACTTTAACTTTATTCGAATTGTGGATGGCAATGCTTCATCTCGGATTTCATCCCCAATAAGAGTATTTCGTTTTTTGTATTTTGTGCTTCTCGCGAAGCAATATGCCGACATACATAATAGAAACAGGATATGCATCTTGACTAAGAGGAACTCAAGGAGTTCATGAACCGCTATTCATGTATTTCAGAGCATGAACGAGTGTTGATGCTATTAAAACTTAACAGGATTTATATAAGTAACGTAAGAAATTCGAGAGATTTGCTGGTACTCATGTAGAAGATAAACGTATAAAGACTCATAATTTTTATAGACGAATAAAAGACACGAACAAAGATATTCTCTGTATCACCCACAACAGCAATCCTTTGGAAATTTGTTTTTACTGTTATGATTGAGAAAGAAGGTCTAAGGTAACGGATCCTATAGAACAGCAAAGAATTGTCTTTTATCCATCTAATCGGTGATAAAAAACATTTCTCTAAGTACACATTAAATTTCTAAACGCTTAACTCTAACTTTTACAAAAAGTTAAGAAATCTTAACAATTGATTATGATTGCTTGAGTTACTTATTCCGAAAAAAAATGAATGAAAAAGGATATATGCACATCTGTGTCAAAAAAAAATGATGAATATTCATCATTTGATTGCTGAACTTCGAGAATACTGTCAAATATCTTCTTACTCTTGTGCATCTCGAACGTCCAGGGTTAGACCTTGACAAGAACAATTTACTAAAGTGAAAAGTTCAGAAAATATGTTTATTGAGTAGCTAGTTTTGTTCTGAGCTGAATATTTTATGCAGAGTGTGTTGATCTTTTGGATTATAAGTCATTTTCTAAAGTAGAATTATTATTTTAATTTTTGAGTCGATCTTTCTGTTCTCAGATCCAAATAATTGTATAGGAAGTTTGATATATAATGGAAGAAAGCATTTTTTATTCTTTACAAAGGTACGATTAGATGAAGCCTTTTATTCTTGGTGATATAGAGGAGAAAAAACAAGACACTTCTAAAGAAAAATAGATGGATCTAAACTATTGTTTTTTTAAAATTGTAATATTATCTGATGTGTGTTTTCAACAATATCATCTTTTATTTTTGTTCTTCCAGTCAAATCTGCCAAATGAAACTTATTTGTATTGACATTCTTCATTACAGTTAGTTTCATATGTCAATTATTTTTCTCTTAAATTAGTTTTGTAACGCAACACTAGATATTTTGAAGAGTTCAAACTTATCTCATGTTATTTTTTCAACAATTATCGCTATATGTGTTTATATGTTCAATGATATAAAGAACTATCAAAATATCCGAACACGCACACTCATCAATATAAAATAAATTTTTGTTTTTTCTTTATTGAATCTAAAAATAGATGTTTTTTTCCTCTCTTTTTTCTTCTTCTTCTTCTTTCTTTTGTTATACTTCATACAAGATCATTAACAACTCAAATATGGGCATGATTTGTTTCGATTCTCTCATTTGTGGTCTCCTCCTCTTCCTCTATTTAATTCATATAATTAGATTAGAAGTGTACACAATAAGTGATCAGAAGAAAAAAAAGAAGAAAAACCCCCTTCTTTCACTATCCGAAATGATATACATTTGATCAATCGTTCACTGTTTATTGTTGTTATATTGCTTTAGCACTCACACTTCGATAGTCTACATATTATCTCTCATAACAATACACTTCAATCAAATTGTTATTTCTGAGTGAAGAGAAAAAAAAACGTCTTTCTCATCAATTGAGAATGGAACTCAATACTCTTCTCTCCAGGGAGCTATTGTAAAAAAAAAAAATTTTTGTATCCGAAAAAAATTTATGCGTGTGTGTGTGTGTGTTTACTGATTTTATTTTCCTATTTCTCAATAGATGCGCGATTCGATGATGAAAAGAAGAGAGAGGAAGAACTTTTCTCTCTATCATTTTTCGAGTTATTATAAAAACAACTGCAGTAATATATTAATAATAATAATAATAAATAATACACATAAAAAATACAAATGCAAAATTTAGAACAATTGACACATGCCATGTTCATGCTGTTGTTGTACGGTAAGTTAGAAAATTTAAATTTTATACTAACTATGAAAATATTAATAGTCCACTTTTGGTTAATTGATATAATTTTTTTTTTGAAATTGAACTGTACAACAAAAATTTAGAGTTAAAATCATATTAAAAATATAATTTTAGTGTTGTTATAATGAAGAAGACGAAAATAAAGGTCAATGGGATCGTCGAGATTCCCAATATGATACGCTGCCTGGTCAACTTGTCGTGGCTAGCGAAGAGAGTGAAAATTGTACTGATTATTTAACTCGATCATTTCATATTATTAGTATTAGTCGTAAGTAATATCAATATGACATTTCTCCGCTTAACACCAATTTCATCATACTTTTTTTTTTTTATTTGTCTATAGTACCCAGTATATTTGTTGAAGCTATTTTGGTGCTGTTATCATTTTTAATGTTTGTACTTGGTAAGTAATCATCTTTCTATTAATAATAATAATAAGACTCGACTCTTTTTTATTTTTTTATTTATAGGTTGTAAATATGATGGTGAATGTCCTCGTCAACCACTAATTATTATTTATCATATAATTGGTGGGGGTGTTGGTTTTTTGTTTACACTCTGGCTGTTAGTACGAGCTGTTCGACGACGTCGACAAGAAAGTGGTCTGGACGATGATGATGATCATAGTGTAGGCGGTCATGGTTATACCGATGATTCAACAGGAAAATTAAAAGACAATGGTATTTGGTTTATGGAACTGGTTGCACTTTTATTTTTATGTAGTTGGTTTCTAATGGGTAATTATTGGACATGGACTATCTATATGCCTGATGGGGTAATGAGTTTAGAGAAACCATTGTCTTGGTGTGATCGAACATTATATATGTTTACACTTGTATCATTTGCTATTCTCTATTTTGTAATATTATTTGGATTTATATTAGTTACAGGTCTATTGACATATGCGAGATTTTGTGTAACATCAATGGTAAATGAATAAATTATAAATTTTTGATTATTATTATTGCAAAGTTATAGGCATCAGTGTATAAGCTCAAAAGAAACTTGATTCAATTTTTTCGATAAGAAATATGTGTCTTTATCACTCAGATATGTTAGAACAGTAATACATCTGATAGTAAAATTTACTGGTCTAGAACAACAGAAAAAGCTGATTACCGTGCACTATGGTGTAGAGTAGCGTTCATCCCATTTCATTCTATATATTAACAACTTTTCATGCATAGCAATCATTGTACTCTAATATTACAAGAGTTTTTTTCCTCATCCCACTTATTATCGTGACTTACAAATAGAACAGACTGATCAATTTCAAAATGAAGTAGTTGATATAATGTATGTCCAAGAAATTGTGATCATTCGCAACATTTCCATGATCGATGGGTTGCACTCGTAAATCAACTAATTAAATACTACATGATATAAAAGTAAAATATGATGATGGGAATAAAATGCAGCTGTACAAAAATGAAATGGTGTAAAATGAATGTCATAAAATGCCTAAGACAAATCTAAGGATATAAAGCAAGTACACTGTAATCTTGAATTAATTTCCAGTTTATAGAAATCAACCGAAAAATCGCTGGGGATTTTCTAGTTGATAGAAATTCCTTAACGAATTTCCAGTTTTCTAAAAAATGTTGATTTTCTACTTTATAGAAAATCGACTTGAATTTCCATAAATTCGATTTTCTATAAAGATGGAGAATCGCTGAGGATTTTCTAGTTTATAGAAATCAATCGAATTACTATAAATAATTTCCAAGAATCTGGAAATTCGATTTTGATTTTCTATAAACTAGAAAATCCCCGGCGATTTTTGAATTCCATTCATCCAGTTTTTTACTCACTTGTGTAGAAAGTGATGGACGTAAATCAAATCAAAGACATTTGATATATTTTAATGTAGTTCAGGATACTTATCAACCATTACCAATTAGTTGTAGAAATCAAGGAGTATTAGCAGTCCCCGATCAAACACACGTCACTCAATGATAAAATCAAAACGAAGTCAGAAACCATCTCAACTGTAAGAAGAAGCTTATGCTTTTTTTAGGGCTTTTTGTAGAAATGCTGTCAAAGCGAAACAAAAATGATTAAGGCTTAATATTTTCATGGTACATTAGAAACTTTAATCTGCTTCTTTTCGCTTTTGTCGCAACTCTATACCTGTCGTCCTTCGCGAGATTTCTATGAAACTCGATTTTTCAGTTCGGTACATTACACCCCCTTGAAAAAATCATCCGATCGGGCTGAAAATTTTATCAGAAGTGCCTAACAACATTTCGCAAGTGATACTTTTTTTTAAAAATCTCTTGTTTTTTACGAGTTATAGTGAAGATACTGAAAAACCACTTAAAATCCGAGTTTTCCAATTGTCAAAACCATATAACTTGTAAAGAAAAAGAGATTTTTAAAAAAAGTATCACTTGCGAAATGTTGTTAGGCACTTCTGATAAAATTTTCAGCCCGATCGGATGATTTTTTCAAGGTGTAATGTACCGAACTGAAAAATCGAGTTTCATAGAAATCTCGCGAAGGATGACAGAGCTTCCCCAAAGAGCTCTAAAAGAAGCGAGGGTACCTTTAAGTAATAAAATCAGATGATTATGAGATTATGACTATCGCAGCTGAGTTAACTTAGACAGATACTACATCTAAATTTTTGTTATTTTGAATATCTAAAAACGCAAAAAGCTACTTTTATATACACATCACAATGTTTTTATGATAAAAAGAAGACATATATCCTCATCTTCTACTGCTTATTAACACGGAATAAAACGGAGCAAATTCAAATGCAAATGAAATAAGGATTATCAAAAATGATTTTTTTTCAGAGCTTGGTAAACTTCTCTCATGCAATTGTTCAATGTGAAACATCGGCAGAAAATGTGCCCAATATGAAAGTTGTAGCTTGAAGTTTGGACTTTCAGAGTATCTTGTTGGTTTGTCTACCGACAAATAAAAGGACAAAAATATGCTCCTTGATATAAATTCACCTTTTTGCTGTAAAAACTTTTTTACGTATTGAAATCTAATATGAAAAAAGCCGTTTTTCGACAAGGTGTTTCAGGCAACTGTAGGCTACTGACTGTCGTTTTCTACTAACATTATATTTCGTCGTTGTGAATGGTCTTCCAGTTTCGCATAGATCATTTACATTTGAAACAGATCTATCTAAAAAGTAAACTTGTAGTAAATACAAGTAAACTGAAACGACAACAGAAAATCTAGAGTAATAATAGAGTCAAATCAAGCTGATAAAACGCAGATAAAATGACGACAATCGATAAACGTAAAAATGATGGACTATGTGGTTATTGTAAACAAATAGGTTATTGTCTAGTCGATTGTTCAAAAACATTATACAATCAACGATAATGAACATGATAGTTATCAGGTAAGAAAAGATAACAAACTAGAAGCCAACTGTTTTATTATATTGATATTGTTGATGAGTTTCCGAAGTTGCTGAGACAATTAGTACCATCGAACTATACGTTCCAAAAACGAATGCCCCTGACTATTTTTCGAATAACTTTTGATAGAAAGTAGGTAAAGAGATGCGGTGTTCGCTGTTCGAGAGCGAACACCTTAAGACATTTTGAGAAATAAAAAACGGACCAGGTCTACCACGTGCAAGTGGTGAGCCATTGACATCTTTGAAAGACAAGGTTGGCAAAGAACGAAAAAAAAGATTTTTTACCCGTTGTTTTATAGATCTGAACCAGCAAACCTTTCTCTACGAAATCCTAGAGAGCTCATATTTTTCTGTTCTTCCGTTCCCGATAGTGAGCGATTCTCCGAGGACGATCCTAACTCACGCTTTTTTCACTTATAATATCGAACGAACACTTCCCGAACAGGTTTTCGACTATGCTGATTCACGTGGTAATGTTTGTTTTGACTTTTAAACGATTGTTGGTCGTGATACAGCACTAATTACAGTTCGCACCGAGAATTTATTCATAACATAGCGAAAATTAACAACGAAGTACCTGTCAGTCCGGTCTCATAGCCCGAACAGGATATATATCCAATTCGGGATATAAAAATATATCCCGTTCAGGCTAGAATATATATCCTCTTCGGGATATAGCCCGATCGGGATATATTTTTATATCCCGAATGGGATATGGTATACTGAAGGCATATCTAGATACGGTAAGTCCGGTCTTATATCCCGAACGGGATGTAAAAATATATCCCGATCAGATTGTTTTATATATCCCTACTAGACTTTAAAAAATTGTGAACGGTAGACCCTTAAACCAAAACTAGAGCACCTTTGATTACGACTCAGTTTTTCATCCGCTTCCTTATGCTATATTCGTTTTTCTGCAATAACGTCACGATTTTTGCGGTAATGATTTTTTCCAAAATGTTTTGCAGAAACATCCTGATCACGATATAAATTTTCTATGATATCCCGTTCGGAATATAGGGTATATTCCGAGCGGGATATCGCTCGTGAGACCGGACTGTCTGTAGACAATAAAAAACAATAGAAAAATATTTACTC